GGTATGCCCGGCGAGGGTCAGGATAGGTAGGCATGGTAGTCGAGGTCTCGAGGTGAGAGGCCATGGACTTGCTGCCGCGACGCTGGGGAGTGGGGGCAGGGAGGGGGCCGCCTTGAGGACCGCCGGCACCGAAGATGAAGGGGCCGGAGCCCATCTGGGGTTGGCGGTAGTAATCCTCCTCAGGATGGTTCTCGCGGATGTTGCCAAAGGCAGGGCGGTGCGGGATGTTCATGCGACGCATGCCAGACGGAACTCGAGGCATACCGGGAATCGCATTGCGATCCTCGTAGAAGCCGGCTAGAGATATATCAGTATTCTGGACCCAATTTCCGAGTGAGAAGGTGTGGTTACTGTCATGGCCCCAGTAGGCATTGGGCTGGCTGACACGTCTAGCCATAGGCATTGCCTCGGGTCTCAAGGCGACACCCATCGACTGGGAACGCTTGTGAGCAGCGCCGCCGCTTGTCTTGCGCTTGAGGTAGGTCTTGGGCTTCTCATCGGGGCCGTCGCTGCTGATGGTGGGGAGGATCTCGATGTCGGGGATCTGGCTCAGGCTGCCACCGTCGATCTCGGTCTTCAACTGAGCGACAATCTCCTGAATAGCAACAGTGGTGTATCCAGCACCGCACTTGCTGAGGAGCCATTCGGGGACGGCAGTGCCGTTGAGCATAGCACCGTCGAGCTGCTCGTCCTCGGACTCATCTTGGTAGGCACGCTTCTTCGACTCCTTCTTGTCCTCCAATCGCTTCTGCTCTCGCTTGCGGATGGCAAGAGACCAGCTGTTCACCACGCCTGCCTTGCCAGCTCTCTCATTCTCGTCGCTCCACTGCTGAACTCTGGCGATCTGCTTTTGAACAAGATCGACCTGGAGCTTTGAGTACTCATGGGCGTTGCGGTAACGGCTTCGCTGGTAGTGCTTGCGGCAGAAATGAACCCAGACGTGGGCGGGAATCATGCGGGTGCAGAGCTTGTTGCGACCAAAGATGTGCGAGATGGCCTTGCGAGGCTGAGATCCAGTGTCGCAGTTCTCGATGTACATACACTTGATCTCGTCGCTGCCCGACACGGCAGGGGGAGAATCGGGAGGCGACATACCGTAAGGTTGCTGCTGTTGCGGTGGGAAAGGCGCGGTTTCTGAAACCGAAGGGAAAGGTTGGAAGGTAGGCGCAGAAATAGCGGCAAAGTCGGGCGCGGAAACAGCCCTTTTGTGAGTTCTTGAAGATTGATCTTGCGGTAATGATAGGTAGTTGAGGTTGTCTTGTTGTTGTTTTGAGTGAGGGCTATTGCTCGATGTAATCAGTAAAGAGTCCAGCTCGGAATGGAGTTTAAGTAATATTGGGCGGTCTGAATTGTTTGGAGAAAGTAGAAGGAACGAACGATCTCGTTTGTTTGGAGGAAGAACGGAGGAGTTGTGTGATGGAGAGGAAAGGGGGAAGAGGGATCGAGTCTCCGAACAGTGATTTAAATAGGCTGGAGAAAGGAAGATTATCGTGATGCTCAAGGCGGTCTCAAGGTGGTGAAAGGGAATTCGATGTGAATCACAAGGCCTCCTTGAGACCGCAGATTCGATTCACAGTCAGATGAAAGGGAAGGAGCGACCCGGTCAGGTCACGTGTGAGATCGCAGTTCGATGTGAAGTTCATTCACGTGAGGTCGAGGCTATCGTGAGGTGAATGAAGAGGGTGAAGTGAAGATACGGTAGGTAAAGTGAAACGAATAGTAGATGGTAGAATGAAATCAGGATAGGGGAGGTGCGATTGAGTTGAGCCAGGTGATAGGAAAGCGCGATCTGGAGAGTTGAACGCAAACTGCTCCTGGCCAGCGATCTCTTTCAAACTCAAGACTCATGAGATCGAGGGCGAGATTTGGGAAGGATTAAATCACAAAGCGCATATTTTCACGTACCTCAAACCATCAGTTGGACTTGATCGGTTGCTACCGCCCATACCTCTGGTGATCAAGATAGCATCTGACGGACTGCCTGGTCGCCCAGTCCCCTTCATTGCGGGATCCAAAGCTACTGGATCATGTTGACCCATCGTTCGTGGGGATGGAGGCTGAACATCAATCATGCCCGGGCCACCCATACCCTGCTGGTGATCGAGTTTTGTGTCAAAAGCCGGTACATCGTTCAACAGGGACGTGAACGGCTGAATGCCGCTCACAGTAGATAAGGAGGATATCCTCGAGTGTCCTCCGGATTGATTTGAGGAGGTGTACGATGACAAACTGCTGTGGCTGTCGGAGAACTTATGTTTCGGGGATTTGGGAAATCCTCCTGTTACGTGGTGCCCATCATCTTCGCGGGGGAGGTTGGGCCTGGACGAGATTAGAATCTACAGGTAAAACGAGAGCACCTTTCTGTAGCATGGAGACTCTTGCAATTCCGACGAGACAATCCCGTGGAAACACAATCGCCTTTCAATGAGATAAGGCCAGCGCAACGGCAGGGAAGACGGCGCCAAGTACTTGCCTTGCTGTTAGTTGAGCATCCGAATCACCGGAAATGCTAGTCCTTGGAAATGTCAGCCGCTGAGTACTATTAAGAATGATAGTGGAAACTGTCAGAAGCCTAGGCAACCTCCCAAGCTGGCTCACCTTCGGCTAGTCGCAACATGAAGTTGCGACTCTGGCTCGCCTAGGTATGCCAGGCTTCGCGAGGGAGTCAGTCTACGAGGTCGTCCAAATACACAAGTGCACCAGTGTTGCGCTGAGAACGGGACCATGCAATACATACCGGCCAGGGTGTGTACTCGTCATTGGAGTGATATTGGCGGAATGCGCCATCTCGTGTGCCAGAGAACTGAGAGAGCTGGCCCTAGAATGGCAGTTCGATGAAGGAGCGTCGCAAGAGCTCGTGGAAGCCGACTGATCCACGTCGGATTCGCTGTAGTATGTAGGCTTGGTGTGGGAAGCAGGAAACTTGTTGTCAAGAGCTAGGTGAAGAGAGTAACCGCCCGCATCCCATGGCGTGCGGTTCCGCGGTGCTCTAGCGTCGCTTGTCCGCCTAGAAGAAGCTGTCTTCTCCGGGGACGATGTGGTGATTTGTCTTTGGAAAATCGGTACAGAAGTGGTTTCGAGTGAGTTGTCCCGAATAAATGGCTTTTTTCCCGCCGCTACGTTCAGTAGTGATGTCACGTCCATCGCTCAAGCGCGGACAACGTGGGAGAAGTTTTGTCGCCGAAACGAATCCAGTTTGGCGGTCCCTTGGGGTAGTGGCGTGATATGTGTCCCTGAAAGCTCCCTCTTTTACGTCCGCCGGGTATCGTGATGTTCAGGTCGTAATAGTCCAACTTGTAATCCTCAGTTTAGTTGTCGAGAACCTGTCTCTTGTTGTCGATGATAGTTATTGGTGAGAAGAAGATAATGTCCGATCTCTAGGATCCAGTCCGATACATCGGATACTCGTCGTCTGTTAAACCCAGGTTGCGAAGGTCGCACAACTAGGGGGACAGGTAGGTAAGGTGACAGTGGTGGGAGGAAGCGTAGGGAAGCGATAAGGTTGATGGGAGATCCCAAAGCTTTTGTGTGTGGCGCCCGGGAGGCGGGCAGGCGACGAGGGAAGGGGAAGGGGTAGTACAGGAGGCGATGACAAGTTAAGAAGCAAACGATAAGAATATCAGACCTATCGTTGGGATCGCCGTTTCAGAGTCGCACTGACAGTTCCAAAAGCGGATTGAAACAGCCGAAACACCTTCAAGTCGCCCAATGGTGTACTTGAAGGGTCATCCGAAAGGGACTTTAACACCTCTTAGCTTGAACACGCCCTGGCAGTTCGCAGATGTCGGATCGACCTCGAACCGAGAGAAACAGAGCAGAGGAAACAGTGACTTCCTCGTACCGTAGCTGAGGCCCCAAAGCTGTACGATCAAGGGGGTTGACGTGTGGCAGTGTCAAAGTAGGAGACGTCGTGCAGACACGCGAGAGTGGCTTGCCGAACGCTGGTGCGGTTTTTCTAGATTCCTGATGCTCCGAATGCGAGGCTGTTTCCCAAACGTGGTGATCTTGTGCTTCGAGAAGAGTGAGAAGACAATTCCGGTCCAAAGGTTGAATCTGAATCGGTGCTCGTTTCCTCCGGGAGTACTTGTCAACAACGGCAAGAGGCTCGGCGAAGTTCGTCAAAGTTTCGTTTCGGGAGCGCAAGTATTATCATGCCATGGAAGAGGCACACGCCAACCTCGACATAAACCAAATAGTGACAGATTTTTTGGCAGGCTTCAGACAGATGCGGATGATGTCGAAATGTGAAGGGGGAGTTCAAGGCCAGTGTCCGGAAAGACACAAGAAGAAGAAACAAAAGATAGGACGAATGGTCAGCGAGAGACGGGGACGAGCCCGGGGCGTCAGGGACAGAGGTGAAGTAGGGCTGTGCTGAGAACGCATGAAGGGACGGTAGGGGTTGAAGACGGTAGCTGTTTAGGAATCCGGGCGGAGGGTGTAGAGACGATCACAACAGAAGCAGCAGCTTCGAATGTCATGACTAGGTCAAATACGCTTGAGATGGGTACATGAAAGAAGAAGCAGACGACGACGACAGGGACGACGACGGATGGCTGGACCGAGCCCAACCGCAGTCTGTCAGGTCAGGGCTCCCAAGTCTAACAACCACGACCGACGACTAGGCTAGGGGCAAGGCCCGAAAGCCGCGAGCAAGCATCGGAGGAAAAGATGGGGACAGAGGAGGCTCGCAACGGGAGCCAGCATGATCACTGTGCAAGAGAAGAGTGGGAGAGCTAGTGAATCTGATCAGAGTTTCCACTTGCGGCAACGCAAGGATGCTGGGCATTATGCGTCGAAGGGGAAGGGATGTCGTCGTTGTTTAGACTTCCCCACAGTAGGTTTGGGCACGCCGGTGGGAAGAAAAGCCCCCGACTGGCCGCTGGTCTCGACGAGGGTCCATGTCCACTTCCAGGGACAGGGGGGGCATTGTCTTGAGTTGAGGTGATTTGTGTAACTGGCTCGAGAAGTGGCAGCTTTCACATTTGCTGCTCGGGGCTCTATTATGCTGTGCTGTGCTGTGCTAGTGCGGGTACACTGCCTGTAGCTTGTCCATCGTCGGGGACCATCATCCTGCTATCATCCTGCTTCTGCAGAGGGCGCAGGTGAGAACGGTGCTGAGTGGTGGTTTGCGTACTTTTTTTTTGGAGGAGGAGGAATGGTTGCCGTGGGAGCTTGGCGTGATGGTTATTGCTGGTGACTAGGGCGACTCCCCGTGGCCTTGTGCTTGTTGCTTGTGCATCAGATTGGACCGTAGTAGATCATGGCGTCAGATACTCCGTCTGAACCATGATCTCCGCAGGGGAAACGTCCGGGCAGGGCTTAGATTTCCAAATAGTTAAGCCGATTGATATAATGGACGTGATATAGGCATGGCAGGGCGGACGACGGGATCTATCTCAAGTTCGTCGTTCCATTGGCACACTTCAAGGTCGGCAGAGATGCCGTAAACGAGCGCGGTTGTAGAATGGCTCCTTGCCGTTCTTTCAGGTCGCTCTTCGGTGGTTGTGCTGCGGCTGCTCGGTTGATGCAAATGGGAGGCCCTGAGGCACAGATTATCCATCGATCTGCAAGCTGAGACCCGGGATTGGGCGTGAAACTTGTCAAGGAAGTGCTTCGTTTGACGAGACTGGGATCCGTGATGGGGTGGACCGTGGATGGGGACAAGGGCTCAGGTATGCCATCTCTGACCGGATTGGTATCTGACCGTGGGCTAGAGAGGTGAGCGTGATGGGGAGGGGGCCGAATTCCCTGGGCACGCACGCACCAGACCTCGGGCATGTGCAGGTGAATGTTCAGTCGGTCGGGAGAAGCCGAAGCGAGTGCCGGGGCGCAATTGTTTTGCCCATGTCGCTCGGTGGCCACCGCATGGAGCGTGTTTTGGCTGTCATGACCCCCCTTGGCAATGAGATGTCGATTGGGCGACCATTGAGTGATACCGTCAAGACGGGTTTGATAGATGCAAGCAACCAGATGAGGCCAGCAAAACCACATGGCTGGGCGCACCAAGACAAGCCATAGGGCGGCCGGGAGAGGCGATAGGCGGCGGTAGACGGTAGACCCCGCCAACGGCCTAGTGCTTCCTTTGTCGCCATTGTGTTGTGTGCTTTGTGCATGTGTTGCGGTTGCAATATCCAACGGCGCTGCAGCCACGCGGTGCCTTGGTTGCTTGGGTTGGGACAGAGAGAAGAGACCGACTCTAATCTGACGGAGATTCGGGGGCTGGGTGGTGCCAGTCCAGTCCAAGGGGAGGAGGAGGGTGCGAGCCTTGGAGCTGAGCATCCAGGTTGATTTTTGCGGCAATCTGTTTGGCAAATGGCAGCCCTTGGGCCTGTCTCAACTTGTCGACTGCCACTAGATGTGACGCCAGCCCGTGCTTCCGCCGTAGAAAACGTCTCTGCTGTCTGTGACCTTCCATCCATCTCACTTCACAACACGAGGTGATGAGGCCCGTGTGCTGTACTGGCTGGTTGCTCGAGTGTTCGCGGTGCTTCTGTTGCTCTTCTTTCTCTTGCTGCTTCTTCTGAAGCCATTTCAAGTGCGACTTTGCTCTGTGCCACTGACACTTCTGAGGCTCAGGACGTGGAGCCGGCCCTTGACAACAGACAATGCATCTTAGCGCATCGCATCGGCGGATGAGGTGTACGAACTGGCGGGAGACGGATGACTCCCATTTGCTTCACCGTCCAATCCAGCACGAACCACAGGCACGTAGCTGCTCTAGGCGGCCGCTTGTCGACTGCAGGTAATGGATGTCTGGTTCTCGTCACAGTTGCACACCGGAACGCATGTGCATATGCCTCGTTTTGCTAACGTCCAGGATCCGTGTCTAAGATAACGCGGCTGTTCAGAGGCCCTCTTCCGCATCGCATGGGATTCTTAATTGTGAGCATAGCCCTGAACGACTGTGATGTCGTCGTAGTTTTGGCAGCTCAAAACAGCTCCATCATCCATGGGACGGCATCTCTCAGTCGCGTGCTGCCAAACTGCCATTGGCCTACGGACAGCAGGGATCATGGCCCCTGCGCCAATGTAGTGCAGCCAACTACTCCGTAGACACTACGTAGTACGCAAGACGAGACGAAGCGTTGGGTCACCCACCCACCACCTAGCAGCGTATGGCGTGAGAGCTTGTGGGAAGCGTCAGCTCGCCCGTAGCGACGAGACTCTGACGACGACCGATCAGTGCAGTAAGGATGGCGTGCTATCTCTGCAGGCTATTCCGTCAAGTACAGTAGTCTACTGGGCAGAGCCAGGCGCGTCAGATATTAAGGACTAATGGTACCCGTACCGGTACGTGGCAGTATATGAAAGATAGGGCGACATGAAGACGAGCAGGTTGTGAGAGCCGTCGTCAGCGCGATGCGGGCTGATGTGCTGCAGGGTATCGCATAGTGTGGCAGTCGCGAGGCCAGGTGCCGCATAGAGATGTATAGTAGGACGGCGGCGACATGGAACAAGTTCGGCCGTCTCGATACGTAGCCGGCGGACGATCCGTGGTGGGCATACCGGGGCTGCGAATGTGCGATTTGCGATTGGCCCATGGGAATCTGCCTCCACGTTTCAAGACGGGGCTGCTGCAAGCCGGGATATTGAGATGCGTCGAAGGAGTAGTGACTGGCAGCATGGGATGGGATAGAGTAGCCCAGATGCTGGATGGCGTCGTATCGCAGCGGCAGTGATGGATCATGGTTGCGGTGGCATGTAGTCAGCTTGCCGTGGAGGAGGGGATGAAGGGACGAAAGGGGGGGAGGGACGGAGGGCGGGCGGGCGAAGGAGGAGGCTCTGATGCACTGCCAGATTCTAGAGCCTAGCGAAGAGCAGAGATGGCTTTGATCTATCCGGGATATGTCGACGGTCAAGGGGACGCAAAGACGCTAGTAAGTTCAGACTTGAAAGGTGCCTGTTGCTTCATAGATTGATGGGAAGGGTATGTGTCGTAAGTAGATGGTTTCGCTGCGTGTCCGCACAAAAGTACTCTCTGTAAGGTACAAATGTTGTAAGTAGATGAGTTTACGGACGGCGGGGGGGATGGGAGATGGGGCCACCATAGAATCAGATGGGATCCGTCGTGCTGCATGAGGTGAAGTTCAGACTTCTATCCAGGTCCTGTATCCGTAGTGTGCCAAGTTGATGCTGTGTGTGGCGGAATCCAGGCCAAGGAGTCCAGGTCGAAGTCGAGAATGAGGTCCATGGGCATGGCATGTCCATGTTCAAGGCCCCAGCTCAGATGCCGGTTCCAACTTATCGAAGCTTCGAAGGGGGTTTGGCGCGCTGGTCCATGTCGAAGTGGCGCTGTGGCTTGGCTGATGGGTCGAAGATTGAGTTGGGGGGTTCACAACTTTACAAGTGACAACGGTGAGTGGGCAAAAATGGAGAGTACGGAGACTCTGCATACGGCTATTTGTTCGGATACATAATTAACACATAACACGCCTGTGTGCCTACTACACTAAGACGAAGATGAGGTCAACACAAAGATCGGGCTTTGAGGGTCGAACCGGGTGGAAGGAGCTACTTCTCCCGCTGCCTGCCAAGTCCAACCCTTCTCTCCGTCCATACCTACCTACAGGAAGTCCTTTCCTTCCTTTGGGGAGCCGGGCAGTGGTGGGACGACAAGAGGTGGGACGTCTCCTTCCGTGGGCCGGCGCCCGCCGTCCGTCATCCGTCGTCTCCATGCCCAAGGTACCGATACGTCGCATCCACCTCATGGAGGCACGCCGTACCCGTGGGGCTTGGAGTTTGGTGCCTGAGAGAGTGAAGTCTCTTCTCGCTGGACCTGCCTTCCCTCCCAAGTTCCCATGGCTGAAATCAACACAAACCCTCAAGAGATCACGAAACGGAGTTGGGCCGGGCGAGGTTCCCCTTTCTGTCTTGCTCCTGGAACATTCTTAGCCTCCACTATCAGTACGGAGTATACATGGACAACAATACGGACAAGTCTGTTACGGGCCACGGTAGAGCAAGGTGAGGGGCAAAGTGGTGCAGGGGTCGTGACTATACTTGGACGTGTCTCCTGAGTCCTGAACATGGTGGGATGGGGTAAGAAGCTCAGAATAACTCACCTAATCACACGGCATTTGCCACGGACTCTATGGCTAGAGTCTAACCAATTTACGTTCTTATCTTGTTCCAAGAAAAGCCCATGGTGAATAATCGCAGTCTCGCGGCATGAAAGGCCATATTGCAAAGAGAAAGGGAAAAGAAAAAAAGCCCATTACCATGACGACTTGCAATAAACCACAGTGGCGATAGCTAGCATCTTCCTTCAAACAAGATGTCTTGATACAGGGCATTTCCCTCTCTATAAAACCAACCAGTATGTCATCTGTCCCATCTTTGGCCATCCCATCAGCACATCGGTCGATTGAATCCTTCATTCCAACCACGTATCCGTAGAGGCTACGCAAGTGTGCACAGGACACAAGGCACACACATACGCACTCTCTACAATTTAGTTTCCACACAATAGACATGACACACATGCCTTGCCGTTAGTCGAGCCCAGTCAGTCAGCCCACGGAGCTAGTGCCACTGCGTGGGAGAAGCAACCTGGACAAAAAGTGAAGTACATTGACGAGACGAAGAACATGACAAAGTATCCGTCCGAGGCAGGTGCAAGATGGAAGGAAGCCTGAGGATGGAGACCTGGACCTGGGTACGTCCCCACCCCTTCCATACTCCTCCTGTGCTCCGCGAGGTGGCTCTTTCCCTTCCCTTCTGTTCACGATGACAGAGAAAAGATACGTACCTGCTCCCCTGGGTGTGATGGAAGGAGGAAGGAGGAAGGTGTGGACTCTCTGGGTTTGAAGGTGGGTCTAAAGGCTCCACCCAAGAAGCTGCAGATGTTTCAGCTGATGTCCACTCCTCTTGTCGTTGGAGACAGCAATGGAACGTTGGGCGAAAGACTCAGGAACACCTTCAACGGTCACCCCAGCTCCCTCCGACCTCCTCACGCTTCTCTACCATCTCCCAGTCATCATCGTCCTTTACACTTCACTGTGATGGAAGGCTTGTCTCGCTTTGCCCAATCTTGTCCAGATTGCAGCGGATAACCTCAGCTTCCGGCCGCCGCACACGGGACGAAAGATCCAAAATCTGTGAGGTCCGCGAGACGGAAACCAAGATTCCACACGCCACCAACTGCACTATGTGACTATGTACCTATGGCACTTTTACTTTAGGATAAAACGGCCATCGCAAAACGTCCAAAGGGAAACAAGCTTGCGTCGGGGCCATAAGACGCCAGAACAATATCGGCGTGCGATGCGAGATTGTCGGAAGACCAGACGCTGGCTTGACACGCCGAAGCACCCGCAGATGCAGGATCTCGAGCTCCTTTCCCCCTTCAGATCCCCCTTCAGAGGGCTCAGTCCTAGCTTGACGGAATACGGCATGCTCCAGCAGCGTTTCTACTCGTTCCGCTACCGTCTCTGATCCTGCCCGTTGCTGGCGGAAGCATCAGAATCAGCAACAGCAGCTGACAAGTGTCAACGCATCGTCCATCATCACCGATCATCATCTCGAGCGACCAATAGCCCACACTAGCCAGCTGTTTGCTGACCGACCAAGGTCTGGACCGGCTCCGATCAAGCAATGACTAGCTCTCCCGCTCTGTCGCCCTCTCTGTTCCGCGTTCTTCTTCCGCCCTCTTCTCAAGTTTGCTGCACGCTTCGCTGACGAAAGTCGGTGAGCACAGGCACCCATCGCACACGTTGCGAGATGCGCCGGATCGTGGCCAGTCCACCCACTAAAGACGATGGGTGCTACCTAGCGCCTTTTCCATGGCCTCAAGTAAGTTGTCTTGGTAGCAGCTCAGGTCCCTCAAGCTTGGCTTCCGCGAAGAAGATGAGTTGACGGAGAGGGATGCGACGCAATCTCGGCCCACGGAAGCTTGGGTCGACAAGGTCTAGCTCCAGGGCGCACCCGGAAACCATGGGCACCGGTACCGACACCAGCTTCATCTAGTTTTTTACCCTCATTTCTACGACACAGTAAGGAAAAACTAAGCGCCTGCCCGCCCTACGACGCTATCAAGCTACGGACGACACGTCTTCGTCTGAGAGGCTTGATTAGTGGATGCTGTTCCTAGCTCTTCGCCTTCGACACCTTACCCTTCGGCCTCGGGCCCGAGGCCTCTACGCAAAGATACCCGGAGACGGACGAGACAGGACTCAGCTGTCTCCAGGCCCTCTGTGGCCGCCGACAGACCAGCCCGCCAAACTCCAAAGCCAGCCCAGGTCAACAACCTCTGACAAGGACTGCTGCAGGGCGATATCCCTGCGCCGATCATCTCGAAGCGACAACCTCTCGAGCTTGCACCCTCAGACCCCGGTCTCGAGTGATTTACAATGGTTTCATCTCAACTTTTATCCTCTGCACTAACGCCATCATGATACGAAAAAAGACTCGGGACCTACTCCAGTGCCACTCAACCAAGCCACTGCCACTTGTCGCTGTCATTTGCCAGCACGAGCTTCACACCATCTCCAGTTTTCCGTCTATCTCCCTTCTTCGCGGATCTTTCTGGTGGCCCCAAGAGTTCGAACGACGAGGGGACGAGGAGTATTCTTCAGCGGCCTGTTCCTTGCGACTACGACGCTGGAAGTGTTGTGGACCGACGCCGTCCCAAATTCTGCTTACGGCCATGCGCCGTTGCACACACGTTGCAGAGGCGGCGCCTTGCTAACCCCCGTCGGTGCCCGAATCACAAAATATTCCGCGAGACCAACATGGCCCGTATGCACCAGTACGTGCGAGCGGTCGGCAGAGGCGTGTCAGGTGCCTGCAGTGGAAGGCCGCTAACGTTAAGGTTAACCAACCTTGGTCTGGTTACGCCTGGCCTACTGCGTGCTCTTTACGTACTTGGCTCGACACAATGCAAATGCCTTGGTCAATGATAGCGAGGCATGCGGTGTTCCTCGGAGGCTTTGAGGCGTGTCTCAAAGCCATTGAGCATACCAAAAAGGTGTTTGAAGGCCTCAGATGCCAAATGAGGCTTATGGCTATGGCTATGGCGGCATGCACGACACGACAAGTCAACTCATGTTTTGCCCCGTCCTTTGCGGTCGGCTCATCGACATTGACCATCAGTCACCAGCATGGTTGCAGATTAGCGAGTCAGGCAGGCAGACAGTCATCCGTGGTGATGAGCCGAATGCTTGAGCAAGCGAACTCGATCTACCGGACCGCCCTCGGTCGGTTCAGCCGCTATCTCATCCCCCACAAGATCCTCCAATTTCCGTCCGCGCCTTGAGACAAACGCCGCTGCCGAATATAGAAGACTGAGAGCTTCCATCGAAGGGCCCGTGGGCACAACAAGCAGCAAGTCACCTGTCTGGGGCCTCTGGGGCAACGTTGTTTGTTTCATTCTTTTCGTATTCTGGAAGCTGAGAGTGCTCTTCGCTAAGCCCTTTGACCAGAATTGTGACTGCTTGAGACAAAAACAACATCGGGTTTCCCTTTCGAGTCAGTCGGTCGTAACGTCGTAGCGTTGCTGTGCGTCTCACAGCAACGGTTTGAGAGAGAGAGCCTGTCCATTCGACCATCAGACTTTTCTTCTCTTTCTCTCCATTGTCATTTGCCCCTTGCGTCAACCGCCCGAGGCAATTTCAGACGTGGTGGACAGATGTAACTCCATCTGTTCCCCGTCGGTCTTTCTCGACTTTCCCATCCGGCGTTATAGTCTCACATGTGTCATCGTCTGATGGCGAAACCGAAAAGTTGGGAGGCGGGCCACAAGAGACAAGACTCGAGAGAGGAAAGGGGATGGAGGGCACGTCCGATCGCACACCTACCTGTGCTCCTAAACTTCTTCTTCTTCTTCTCTTTACCTTCGCATCGGCGGCCTGAAGAGGCCAGGGATCAGGGCACCTTTCGGCGTGCAGTCTGAACTTTGAATCTGTCCAGTATGGCGAAAAAACAAAACGGACCAGAGAAATATGCCTTGATTGATCTGTGACAACCACACACCACACACATCCTTCATGAAGAGATGACGATGGTGGGTTGGTCCGTGAGTGAAGATGTAGGTGGCGAATCCGAATAAGAGACGACATGTGCAACTGTCCTTGTCTCCTCTTCCCTGGTCCATGGGACGCCGAGAGCTCCCCGAACACACTCGCAGTGGTGGGCCCCCCAAACTTCCGGACGCAAAGGCCCGGGTTGACTACACTACCCTCACGGGTCCGGCCACCCGTGAAATTTGCGGGTCACGGGCTGGCCATGAACACGGAATCGCGATATTGTATAGTCCCGGGCGGTGTTGGTTGACTACAACTTTGGAGTATTGCTTTGTTCGGCCTGTTGCCTAGATATTTCCAAGCCAGGGCAATCGTGTATCGAGGCTTTTCATTGGCCTGCGCCCAGTTGTAATAGAAAAAGACCTACCTAGGTTTAATTAACGCCTCACGTAAGATTTTGGAGGAATAGGAGAAGAAGCAAGCACCGAACAATCCGTACAACGTGACTTAAGATCAATATGTTTTTCCCATGTTTCTTGCAACATCACAATTGATGGGTAGATGTAGGTGAACCTACCTTAACTGCGACGCGACCATTGTCATTCGTGGGTTGTTGCGGTCCATCATGTCCCTTGAAGAGCACAGCCAAAACAGGGACACGCACCACCCTAACACCACGGCATCAACACCCAACGAAATGACGACGTCAAGCTCCAATTCATCACCAAAGGATGATCCGTATCCGGTTCCGGATCTTCCGCCGGGCACAATGATGCGCCTCAACATCGTCATCCTCTTCATGGGCTCGCGCGGCGACCTTCAGCCCTCCCTGGCCGTCGCCAAGCTCCTGCAGCGCCGTCATGGCCACCGCGTCCGCATCGCGAGCCACCCGCCGTACCGTGCCGCCGTCGAGGCCGCGGAGGTCGGGTTCTACGGGATCGGCAGGACGGACATCAAGACCATGATGGAGAGGCGGTTGCTTCCGCGGAAGGAGCTGAATGCGCTGGTGCCTGTGATCCGGGAGGAGTTTCGGGAGATGGGGGAGAGGTGGTGGGGGGCTTGCGTTGATGGGTTTGGGTTTGATCACGATGGTGAGGATGGGGTTGATGGAGGAAGAGGAGGAGGAGGAGGAGAGGAGAGGGGAGCGTTTGTGGCGGATTTGGTCATGTCTACGATGCATGTGTATAACCAGACGTCTGCGGCGGCGAGGCTGGGTGTGCCGTTGCACCTGTTTGGGATGAACCCGAGGATTTTCTCGAGGGAGATACCGCATTCACAGGCTGGGTGGGCTTTGAAGGGGCCTAGTCGGTGGAAGAATGTTTTGTCCTGGTGGGTTCAGGATTTTATGTGAGTTTTTCCTATTCTTCTTCTCTCCCCTTTCCAGTTCTTTGCTTCTCGATATTTTGTTTCCCATGCTTTGTTCTGGGTCATTCCCCCTTTTGGGTTGGGCATATCATCACATTATCAGAGGAGCTACGGCAGGGCGAAGTGATACCTCAGAAGGGGGAGGGCTCCTTCTACGTTTTTAAACTAACACACGACAAGGTTCCTTGAAGCGATGAAATCCGTCATCAACGACGTCCGCGTTAACGTGATGGGCCTGGAGAACATGTCCCCCGCCTGGTGGCTGAGCCAGTACAACAGGATGAACGTCCCCTGCACGTACCTCTGGTCGCCGAGGCTGCTCCCGAAGCCAAGTGATTGGGCGGACAACATCGACGTTGCGGGTTTCGTATTCGAGGACGTGCCGTCAGAGTATACGCCGTCTCCGGAGCTGGTTGCGTTCCTAGAGGCGGACCCTGAGACGCCGCCGGTGTATATCGGGTTCGGGAGCATGTCGTTTGCGAATGCGCAGGACGTGTTTGAGGGGATCTTTGAGGCGGTGAGGAGGGTTGGTGTCAGGGCTGTTGTTGGGAAGGGGTGGTCTAACCTTGTTAAGGAGGATGTTGGACGCGTGGGGAAGGGAGACGATGAGAGTCAAGGGGGCAGCATCGGCGGGCATAGAGACATTACACACATCTTCATCCTCGACGAGGCGCCGCACGCGTGGCTGTTCCCCCGGGTCAGGGCCGTGGTGTGTCACGGGGGAAGCGGGACGACGGCCATGGCGCTCCGGAGCGGGCGGCCTACGCTCGTGGTGCCCGTTGCCGGGGACCAGCCGTTTTGGGGCACGAGGATCCACGCTGTCGGGTGCGGGCCGGAAGCAAAGTACGGGTTGGCGGAGATGAACAGCCAGAGGTTCGAGGAAGGGCTGAGGGAGCTTCTGAAGCCGGGGTATGCGGCTGCCGCGGAGAGGTATGCGGATACTGTGAAGAGGGAGAGACCTGGGGAGGAGGTTTGTGTTGAGAAGGTGCTTGAGACGGTTGGGGTTTGTGAGAGGGAGGGGAGGTGTGTTGTTTATGATGGACGGCCTGCTGTTTGGAGGGTAGCTTCGACGGGGAAGGGAGAGGGAGGGGAGAGGAAGTTGTCTGCTGTTGCGGCGCATGTTCTTGTTGAGAGTGGGAGGGTTAGGAGGGAGGATTTGAAGGTGCTGGAGGTGGTCAAGTGGCCTGATTTGACGGGGCCTGGGGATCCGGTGACGGGGTTGGTTCTCGGGATGCAAAAGGCTTTTGGGAGTGTTGCTACGGATGGGAGGACGGGGAGATGGGGAAGATTGGGTCTTCATGTTTTGAGAGGTGAGTTTGGCTGCTTTCTCGTGGTTTCCATGATGCTGTTGTATACCACTCCTATGGTTGAGACTATGGCTGACTATTGGTATTCAAAGCTCCCCTCACGATCCTGGCCGCCGTGGCGTTTGGCCTCTTCAACCTACTCGACTTCATCCTCTACAAACTCGCCTCGCCTTTCGAGCCGAAGCTCTACGCGAGTAACCCGCGGCTGTACTCCTACCCGCGCATGCTCTTCTTTCTCCTATTCGCGCCCTTTGTCGAGCTAGCTTCCGTCGTGACGCAGCCGGCGCGTTTCCTGGCGGGTAGAAGAGAGGGAGAAGGAAAGGGGGGCAGAAGAAGAAGCTTACCAAGAGTGATCCTCGAGGTGCCGCTCGCGCTTCTGAGGGTGCTTTTGGCGCTGGTCAATGTTCTTGTTGGCGGGTTGGGTATCACACTTCGGCAGCTGGAGCTTCTTTGTGCGAGGGCTATGGGGGAGAGACCTGTGGGGGATGTTGTTGCCGAGGCGAGGATTCGGCAGGGGAGGGTTGAGGCGGAGGAGTTGAAGGTTGAGGGGGTTGAGAGTGGGAGGGATTTGATTGGGGATATTATTAGGAGGTGGGATGAGCGGAAGAAGGCTTGAGTAGCTGCTGTTAATACTGTACAATAATGCGGTCACTTTGCAATCGAGATTCAGAGTGAGCGGATAGTTCTTTGGGCTGGTAGGATGTGTATCAGGACCTCTTCCGGTGGCTAGAGTCGAGTTACACTGTTAAGATATTTGTTAATGGAAAGAAACTTCGGGTTGATGGCAAGCCTGTGGCGGATACATCTAGCCTGTTCCGTCACACAAAAGTTCATCTGATCCTCTAAAAAGGGGGCGTGTAAGCAGAGGATACCTTCTAAAGGATACGAATATTCTCCGATACATGCCACGTCGTGTCACGGGACTTGCATCTACCGTAATGCGGACAGCCGGCGCCCCGGGCCACGTCAACTTCTTGTGTTGCCAGCCATGGGGTAAGGCGAGGTAAGTTTTGGTAGGCTGGTAGGATAGCTGCGTGCGTGACGTGTACGATTTCGGGATGTTTTTTCCTTCTTTCTTTCGGCATCCTGGCCGTGCAGGCGGCTTGCTGCGTGCGGTTGTGAGACGTGATCGATGTGTATATTGGATTTGATTTGGGGAGCGTTTGATCGTATCTGTCGGTCAGCCGTTCTTCCCGCCGGGCATTTATCATGTTTGAATCTGTAATTGGATCCAGTCCAGGGTGGTACTCCTCGACGATGTGTTATTCATCTAATATTATTCCCTCCGCAAGGTATTTCGATTGATTCTCAGATTGATCTTGGAAGCTCTCGTCTCTAGATTTCTCAAGGCGTTGATGGCGGTGGGCTCAGCAGTAACTGCATGGCCTCAGGGGTGGTTAAAATCGCAGTGAAGGGTCGGAGGCACGACAAGGAGGTTTGATTGACCAGAAAGGTGTTTTATGGTTCTTCAGCTAGCCAATACGATAGCTTGCCACTACCAGTCATGATAGTTCCCGTGTAAAATTGATTTGTTTGGATGAACGTCCTGCACATGAACACGTTGTTCTCAAGTCCTCCTCTTTTCATCCTCACAAAAGCACAAACAGTATGAAGCGAACTGAGAAAGAGTTGTACCTTTAATAAGTCTATTCCGAAGTTGAAATACTTCTGAGCCCTTGGAACAGTGAAATCAAAAATTCGCGGTAGAGTTGATCACTCCCAAGAGAGATCACTGCGAACTTCATAAATCCTAAAGCAGATTCCTCAATGGCTGAAGTCTGTGGAACTTTGACTTCGGGTCTTGTCACGCCAAGTCGCTCGTAGAACAACTTGGAATGACTGTAGGTTTACACAATCAAATGCAGATCTCGTGAGATTTCGCGCGCTCTATCTCATTTCTGCCTATGGCCGTGGGAAAGCTGATTCCCTGTGTTCCGGAGCCACATGACCAATTGCTCGACTTGCAGGAGGCCATGCGCCAAATTGAAGAGGACAGCCTGTTCTTGAACAGTAGTATCTCAACCACGAGTATACATTTTTGGTAGTAATTCTACACTATTTACCAGTGAACTTGACAAATTCTCAAAAACCATTCCAGTGTTGAAGCGATGGAAATGGTTGTATAAAGGGGTTATGCATGTAGCAGATATTGCGCACTCCCGATGACGCCTGCAGTGCTTAGCGCGACTCCATGCGCTCCATGTGATCGCTCACGAAGCTTCCGCCGCCGGCTTGTGCCTTCACATCAACTCAGCGTCGAATTTTCCGCCCAACCTGCTTGAAAATACACATCTCTAGAGAGAAGGCCTACGCGATGACCGCGCCTCTTCTCGCCTCTCAATTCCCAAGACGAAGACGCGGTCCATTTGGCTGACCCCAATGACGCAACCACCGCCATCAGTGAGTCTTGCGGTCACTACACCAAGAACCGTCGCTCATTAACCATTTTCTTTGCAGACACCTACACCTCGTCGATTTCTGCTTTCCAAGAAACCTCCAGGATCGCAAAAACAGACACCAGGTAGCGGCCCGCCCGTCTTCGCCGGCAGCCAGCGCTTCCAGCCCACGCCCCGCTTCGCCCCTCCGTCATCAACTCAGCGACCGCCCGCGACGCCCGTGTTCCCTGGTTCACTTCGACCGTCGAGACACCGAGACCCGATCCACGATCTTCTGGATAGTTCCCCGACAGATGCGCCCGTCTCGGCGACGCGACCGACGCTAGGAGCTGGGACGCAGAGGCAGAATCCTAGGATTGACACCGACTCTGACGTCGGTAGCGATTCGCCGACAGAGGATCAGGATGAGCTGCCGCCAATGGTCGTCGCGGTGAGCGATTCGATCGAGATTGACTCGGAGCCGCCTAGTGTTTTATACAGCGAGACTGAGGAGAGGACACCAAAGAGGAGAAGGATTTCGGTCTCGCCAGCATTGAGCTGGCAGGAGGAGCCCAAGGAAGACGTTGCCATGGGATATGAAGAGGAAGAGCTTCTCCCTGAAGAAAGCGGATACGGTGACGAGCAGCTGCCAGATGCCGATGATGAGCTTCCCTTCCGCGAGGGTGTGCCCAGGACTGAGGACGACTTGGTTGTTCCTAAGCGCGCTGCAGGAGACCCAGTCAAGACGCAGCCGACCTTTCATCGCGCCCCTCGTTTCAAGCCGTCTGAATCCGAAGTCATTCGACAGCAAGGCCTACCGGAGGTGTTCTCGCCACAGCGGCGAGGCGCAAAGTACGTCGCCGGGGGCCTCGCGGCAGAGCTGCAGACTTGGCTGGCAGAGGTCAAGGGCTGGACGGGCGGTGACCGTCCGGCTGACCTAGTCATGAGTGTTGTTGTTGACGAAGTTCGTCATGAAAACAGAATGTACCTTGTTCGGGGACGAAGGATCATGGGCGACGGGGATGTAAGAGAAGAGATTGCGGCGCGGCTTATGCTGGCTGGGGAGGGACAGTTGACGGGCCTGGGACATAAGGCTCCTGTCGTCGTGGGTAGTGTCGTTGCGATTTCCCAGCCTGCGTGGGAAATTGAGCTACAAGATGGTAGATGGATCGTCGCCTGCGACTGGGCGGTCTCGTAGAAGATTTGGCATACAATCGAATACACACCAGCAACATTGATCGCTGCACTTTTGCAAATGGACAGACTTTGTGAAAACATTTCTTTGCAGTACAGCCTCGAAAGTATACTACAAAAAGCTATGGCCTACAACTTCAGTCAAACCGAATCTTTACTTCTCGCTCGAAAATTTTCTGCTTCTTTGCTTTCTTTCTATTTCTGTGTGCTTACCAAGGTCCATTTCCAATCATCAGCCTGACATTGACTCCTTCCGATATCCCAGGACGATTATAGGGAGTTCGCCCCGCTGGATGCATAAAGCGTTCAAATGCATGTACCCGTACAACCTCAAACCTAAGGTGGCATACCGTCCAAGATCCACTTTTACTCAGCATCTCATGAGACCTTGAAGGCCATCAAAAAAGATACGTCGATTGAAGCGAGAATATCGCACCCGTGAATAAGAAACCTTTACGAGTTAAAATGTCTCGCAAATAATCAGAGCATCATTCGACATAATGACGTGGCTGGCCCTCCGATCAGCCGCCTTTGCGCGGGTGCCAGCTGCAACGACGTGTCGGTCGGGCGCCCGATTCTACTCCGGCGCAGCGACCGGCGCCGGCCGCGTCTCGGACCCGCTCCGGATCCTCTTCTGCGGCTCGGACAACTTCAGCTGCGCGGCGCTGACCGCTCTGACCGCGGAAAGGAAGCGAAATCCGGAACTGATTGAGTCGCTGGAAGTCGTTGTTCGGCCAAGCAAGCCGTCGGGGAGAGGGATGAAGAATGTTCGTGAGGGTATGTGGGCGCCGTCTAGACTCTCATGAGGTTGGTGACAGTGGATGATTAATGTGAGCTGACAACTGGTAATAGTTCCGTTGAAGACCCTCGCTCAGCAACTCAGTTTACCGATTCACGTGAGAGACACGTTTACCAAGTGGCAGGTATTGCGGCTCCTCTTTCCCATCAATCAAGTGCCATCAAACTGACGCACGCAGCCACCTAGCGACTTCAATCTCATCATTGCCGTCTCTTTTGGTCTTTTCGTGCCGCCGAGATTACTCAAGATGGCAAAGTACGGAGGGTTAAACGTTCACCCATCACTGCTCCCAGAGTGAGTTCTCATCCACGTTTGCCTCCCCATCGTCACACAGCCCTCTCAACCACCAAATTCTCCAGCTTCCGCGGTCCCGCGCCCCTCCAACATACGCTTCTACAAGGGCGCACGCACACAGGCATCACGCTTCAGACCCTAGATCACAAAGACTTTGATCACGGTGACATTCTGGCTCAGACGCCGCTTCCAGGCATCCCGATCCCGGAAAACTGCAGCACGCAGCAGCTGCTCGACATTGTCACGCCGCCGGCCGCCGAGATGCTCGTCGACGGTCTACATCGAGGTCTCCACGTCCCTCCGCACGTGAACGTCGGCTGGAAACAATCCACTTGGGGGTTCATGGAGGACTCATTCGGAGCACCTCCGCACGCGCCGAAGATCACAAACCACGACCGCTGGATTGCTTGGTCGAAGTGGACCGCCGACGAAATCGCGACGCGGCAGCGCGTGCTGGGCGGCGTGTGGTCCTCTGCAATCAGCCAGACCACGGGCACAGAGAAGAGGATTAAGTTAGGACGGGTGGACTCCGTACCCCTCGAGGATATGCCTGAGCATATTAAGCAGTTTAACAGACAATTGAGGGGGTATAGGAAAGACCGAATAATTGCAGACGATGCCTCACCGGAGGATGATAAGAAGGTGAAGTTTGTCAATTGGATTCAGGGGACGCAAGACGGGTGTTGGAAAGTGCTTCAGCGTGCCATTTTTGAGCACGAGGACGGGAAGAGCATTTTGATTCCCCTTGTTGAGGGCGACAAGGTCCTCAAGGTGTCGACCATGATTGTCGAGGGCTCGGCGGAACGTACTGCTGTGAGCGCCATTAAGAGCTTCGCCGTAGTCGGAGATGACTACAATAACGGCTTCACTGGAAGGTGTTCGGAATTCACCCTTGTCCCCTTTTAGATATCAGTGTTGTAGGTGTACGATAGGAAAATGCAGTGATGAGGTTGA